GAGAGAGAGAGAGAGAGAGAGAGAGAGAGAGAGAGAGAGGAGAGAGATTGGGGGTTAAGAGAGAGGGAAGGGTGGATAAGGACGAAGAAACAGCCTCGGCCGAGAACCCCAAGAGATAAGCTGGGGGTCTGAGCCAGACCTGGAACACTAGCTGGGGCAGGACACAACAAGGCAGACACCCAGGGCTGGTCAGCCCTGCGTGATGAGTCTCCTCCGACTCTTCAGCATCCTGCTCGTCGCTGTGATCTCTGGAGCTCGGGGCTGGGGCTACTGTAAGTGCTGGTCTCAGAGGCAGGTGGGGTTGGGTGCAGGGGTCCAGAGCTTGCAGGGCGAGTCCGGCGCCGGCGCCGCATTGCGGCTGGGTGGTCGCCGGTCCTTCCCATACCGGCTCGCGCCGCCTCGCTCCCATCTTTTCCTCTCCCTAGCGCTCCGCAATGCAGCTACCAGACTGCTGCGTGCGCGCGCCCCGGGCTGGGGCTGGGCTCTGAGCCGAGCAACCAGTCAGCCCAGGGGATTTGGAGCTGTTAATCCAAGCGGCAGCCAGTGCCTGGGTTTGAGGTTAGGGTTGGCTATAAGTGCTACCGGTATTGGTGACCCAGGCTAGAGTTGAGGTTTTTCCCTGAGGGGTTGGGGCTGGAATTTGGAGCTGACCCAGGGACCTAGGTAGGGTTTGTGGCTGGGGCTGGGTTTTATGGCTAGAACCCAAATAGGAGTTGGTGACCCTGTCTAAGGCCAAGGATGATGCTAAGAATGGGATTGGGAAGTGACTGGACTGGGAGCAGATCCTGATTTGGGGATTGGTGCACGTTTCGGTGGGGGAGGGCTGATGAACGGAATGGATGGAAAGGCTGGGGTTAATCAGGTGTTCCAAGGCCCATTTGGGTTCTTAAATACGCTTAAGTTTGGGGATTGTGTTTAGGGGAATACTGAATCACGGTAGGAGGGGGAAGGAAGGATCTGGCTTTGGATCTGGAGATCAAGGCAAAGAGTTACCTAGGGGGAGAAGCCTCAAGCCCCTGAGGGAGCAGCTGTTGCTGAAGCCTAGGCTGAGGGCACAGATTTAAGGTGGGGCTGAGTCTGCCACTGGGGGGCAGTGGAGAGGAGTTTAGACTAAGAGGGTCAGTCTTTAGAAGAGGGGCATACTAACAAGCTCATCCATCCCATTCCCCCCATCCCACAGATGGCTGCAATGAGGAGCTGGTGGGACCTCTATATGCTCGGTCCCTGGGCGCCTCCTCCTACTATGGGCTCTTTACCACAGCCCGCTTTGCCCGGCTGCACGGTGAGCTAGCCCAACCAGGGAGGGGAGGACTCCGGAGAGCTGAGAGAAGAGAGTGGGTGGTAAAAGCCCTTGCCCTTTCCGTAGGCATCAGTGGATGGTCGCCCCGGATTGGGGACCCGAATCCCTGGCTCCAGATAGACTTAATGTCCAAGCATCGGATCCGGGCTGTGGCCACACAGGGAGCCTTTAATTCTTGGGATTGGGTCACACGTTACATGCTGCTCTACGGGGACCGTGTGGACAGCTGGACACCATTCTACCAACAAGGGCACAACGCGGTACTCTCGGTGCCCTGGCGCACACACTTGGGGAGCCTCCCCTGCTCTGGGCCCTGGGCTGGGCACTAGCCTGAAGGGAAGGGGAGGGGACAGCATGAGGCACGGGTGAGGAAAACCGGTCTTGGGATTTAGTCCAGCTCAGACTGTTTCTCGCCCTTTATAAGGTTTAACACACCTTGGGGTAAAACCTCGGAGAGCTTCCTGAAAGTAGTGGCATTAGATTTGGCTTTGAAGGAACAATAGGACACTAGTCCCTGTACAATCCTGGGGGCAGGGGAGATGGAGAGAACTCCCGTTCGCGCTCCAGTAAAGATTGGCAAGGTTTGAAAGCCACCGCGGGAGGGAAAGCTGAGGGTGGGAACAAGGTTACTACTTTTCCCAACCCCCCCGCAGACCTTCTTCGGTAACGTCAATGAGTCGGCGGTGGTTCGCCACGACCTGCACTACCACTTCACGGCTCGCTACGTCCGCATCGTGCCGCTGGCCTGGAACCCGCGCGGCAAGATCGGCCTGCGGCTGGGCCTCTACGGCTGTCCCTACAGTAAGGGTGTGGAGGTCGGGAGTGGGGGCAAGGAGCCTGAGAGGGGACAGCACCCCCTTCCCGGTCCCCCGCCCACTCACGGTTCTTCGCGCAGAGTCCGACATACTGTATTTTGACGGCGATGATGCCATCTCGTACCGCTTCCCGCGAGGGGTCAGCCAAAGTCTTTGGGACGTGTTCGCTTTTAGTTTCAAGACCGAGGAGAAGGATGGGCTACTGCTTCACACCGAGGGCTCCCAGGGGGATTATGTGACGCTTGAACTGCAGGGGGCACACCTGCTGCTGCACATGAGCCTGGGTGAGCTTCGGGACCCCAGAGTGCTGCCCTGCCTAAGCCGGGTCTTCTTTTGTAGCGCTTGGTGCTAGGATACAGCAGGCTAGAAGTCAGAACTGGTTTCGGCTTACCAACTGCGTGACCTTGAGCAAGGCATTGTAAACACGCAAAACGATTTTGTATCTCATTTGCTTTTCATAACCCCCAGTGTGATGAGATACAAGCAGCTATCCTACTCAGAGTTTTACAGAGAGCCGAAGAAGCCCAGGGAGGTTAAATGGCTGCACGCTTGTCGATGGCCACTTCTCCATTCCAGGCTCTGATTGGGTACTCTGTGCTGGGAGCTGCAGCTTACTTGGGAGCAAGGGCCAGTAGGAATTCTCACTCTGCCCTGCCCTGCCCTCAGGCAGCAGCCCCATCCAGCCAAGACCCGGTCACACCACGGTGAGTGCTGGCGGCGTCCTTAACGACCTAAGCTGGCACTATGTACGGGTGGACCGATATGGCCGAGAAGCAAATCTCACCCTGGACGGTTATGTCCATCGCTTTGTGCTCAATGGCGACTTTGAGAGGCTGAATCTGGATAATGAGGTGACCAAGGGTGGGGCACGTTATGGGGTGTGACAATGGGTAAGTGGGGGCGGGGATCCACTCCCTATCCCACTCCCGTATGCCAGAGAGACTTTTCTTGTTGTCCTTGTTCTGGTCCTCACTGCAGGTCTACTATGATTGGTCTAGAAATTCAGATTTGGGGGAACCAGGAAAAGTAGAAAATTGCCCCCTAGTTCCATGCTGCTGCTAAAGACCCTGGCCCATTTGCATTTTAAATACCTAAGAGCGACAATTTGACCTGCTGAAGGCCTACCGCCAACTAGTGGTGGCATTAAGGCTCAAATCTAAGTGCATGCTTTAGTACTGACCCTAGGGAAATGTGTTCCAAGTCTTCCTGAAAGCCAGTCATAGTGGAAAGGGTACTTACTGTGCATGCACGCAGGAAAGGTAGGCGCTCCCCTACGCCCAGGGAAACCGCTTCTCACCTGCTTCCCATAGATATTCATCGGGGGTTTGGTGGGCGCAGCGCGTAAGAACCTGGCATACCGGCATAACTTCCGTGGCTGCATAGAAAACGTGATCTACAATCGAATCAACATCGCCGACCTGGCAGTGCGGCGCCATTCGCGGATTACCTTCGAGGCTAGTGGGCAGGGGGGTCTGGGAAGACAGGGACTCTAAAGCCTCTTGGAAAGCCAGGAAGTGGAGAGGAAAGAGATCCATTCTCAACATATTCTAAGGCATGGCGGGGGGGGGGGGGGGGGGGGGGGGGGGGGGGCCCAAGATGTAAATGCCACTCATCCCCTCATCCCCCAGTTAAGGGGGGTGAGTCGCCAGGTGGTGGTGGCGCAGGCCTTTAATCTCGGCACTCAGGAGGCAGAGACATGCTGATCTCTGTGAGTTCGAGCACAGAGCAAGTTCCAGGACAGCAAAGGCTACACCAAAAAAAAAAAAAAAATCCATGTCTCGAAAAACAAAACAAAGAAGCTGTCCTGTCGCCTCTTAGTTAGCGGATGAGGGAAATGAGGTGCAGAGGCTGGGAATCTGACCAGGAGCACGTGACTACGAAGTGACAGGGTAGGGTCTTTTGATAAGCTTTCCTCTTTGGTCAACTCTGGAGCATGTACGCATGCTCCACAGCCTTTGGGCGAAATTCGACTTGTGCTATATTGCCTTTAGCACTACGAAATGGAAATATTATTATTATTATTATTATTATTATTATTATTATTATTATTATTATTATTTTGTGGACAGTGGAATCAGTGGTAAAAAGCTAGCAACGGAGCAAAGTCCCGAGGACAGGCTTGTTTGGGCCCCTTCCACAAGTATGTGGACATATTTGCGTGGGATGGGAAGGGTCAAGGCCGGAGATCATTACTCCACTCTGGACTAGGTCTGGGTCTTAACCCAGTGAGAATATTAACGGCAAGTACCAGGCCTCCGTGTCCTGATGCATCCATCCATTCCTTTCTAGGGTAATGTGGCTTTCCGTTGCTTGGATCCCGTTCCACACCCCATCAACTTTGGAGGCCCTCACAACTTCGTCCAAGTGCCTGGGTTTCCGCGCCGCGGCCGCTTCGCAGTCTCCTTTCGCTTCCGCACCTGGGACCTCACGGGGCTGCTCCTTTTTTCTCGCTTGGGAGATGGGCTGGGTCACGTGGAGCTGATGCTTAGCGAAGGGCAAGTCAACGTCTCCATCGCGCAGAGTGGCCGCAAGAAGCTTCAGTTTGCTGCTGGTGAGGGACTCTTTGGGAGGCAGGAGCAGGCTAGCGAAGGGTGGGTTCTGGAAGAAACTGGCTGTCACCGGTTCTGCGGGATTCCTGGAGATGCTTGCCAGCTCTTTCCAACTTTGCGTATTATGTCAATGACTAAGGTTATGGACAGTGAAGAGAGCCATCAGGAGGTGCCAGGGAGAGAAGTGTAACAATGGGGTGCGCTTAGACTGCTGTGGGGAGCAGAGTGGGGCTACTTACTGCTTCTCTACTCAAGAACATCTGTCTCCCTGGGCGTGGTGCCTTGTGGGGATTTATGCCCATAATCCCAGCATCTGGGAGGCCAAGGTAGGAAAACCACAAGTTTAAGACCAGTCAGGACTACATAGTGAATACTAGGACAGCCTAAGATACAGAGAGACCCTGTCTCAAAAACACGACAAGGAGGCTGGGAACCCAACTTCTGTGTTCTGCAAGAACAGTACTCTTAGCTACTGAACATCTAGCCAGCTCATTGCAACTCCAACTCCAAGGGGCTCCACCTCCCTCTTCTGGCGTCTGGGGGTACTGCACTCAAAGCACAGAATTAAAAAGCATTTTTTTAGACCCCCCCCCCCCACCAATCTTCTCTTATTCTGGTTACACCTTCCAACCACTCACACCACCCTCCGTTCTTGTCCAGGATACCGCCTGAATGATGGATTCTGGCACGAGGTCAACTTTGTGGCCCAGGAAAACCATGCAGTCATCAGTATCGATGACGTGGAGGGGGCAGAGGTCAGGGTCTCATCCCCACTGCTGATCCGCACAGGGACTTCATACTTCTTTGGCGGTAAGGGGCGGGGGCTTTGCCCTGTCTCTGGGTGGGAAGGTCCTATCTCAGTTCTGATGGGGCCACATGGAGAGTAGCGAAAGGGCCGAGCCCCATTTCACCTCTGGGACCTTTGGTCATTGGCCATTATTTGTACTGTGGTTCTAGGATCCTTTCTTTATTTGCATATGGCTCTCTCTTGGTACTTTCCCAGGGGAGGGTATCTGGGTCCCTCCTGGGAAGCCTTACAGATGCGGTTTGCGCCAGGTTGTCCCAAACCAGCCAGTCAGTGGGGCTGCCACTCCAACCAGACAGCATTTCATGGCTGTATGGAGCTGCTCAAGGTGGATGGTCAGCTGGTCAACCTGACTCTGGTGGAGTTCCGGAAGCTTGGCTACTTTGCTGAGGTCCTCTTCGACACCTGTGGCATCACAGACAGGTATCTACAAGGTCACCTCCCTGATGGGTGACCCCTCCAAAGCCCACTTTCATGTAGTCAGGGTGGCTTTTTCTTTTTAAACTCCTCTCCCTTCTTCTTGTTAGCAGCGCCCCTCTACACACACACACACACACACACACACACACACACACACAGACAGAGTCTTCCTTGACTTCTGACCTCTTTTCTATTTCTTCCTGTAAAGTTGCAGGTGCTCAGGATTGAAAGAAAGTTTCTATTCAGTCCTAAGGTTTTTGTCTGACAAGGGCTGGGTACTTTCTCTTTTTGGGAGAGGAGGGAAGAGAGCACATGATCCACGTAGACTACCAAGAGTCCCTGTGTCTGGATTATACCCAACTAGTTAGGTGGGAAGTGAGTCATGGGGCCCCGGCACTTTGGGAAAATGGGGATGGCTGCCTTTCAAGCCTCCTTCCGTGGCTGTTGACACCTTCCCCAGATGCAGCCCTAACATGTGTGAGCATGACGGTCGCTGCTACCAGTCTTGGGACGACTTCATTTGCTACTGTGAACTCACTGGCTACAAGGGAGTCACTTGCCATGAACGTAAGCTGGGTGGAATAGGAAGCCAGGGGATGCCTGTTGGGGATCGGGAGGCCACCCGAGACGGTATGACTGGCCATCCTTCTAGCCTTCTAGCTCCACAGTTGCCTCCTTCCCCCTTCTAGCTTTGTATAAGGAATCCTGCGAAGCCTATCGGCTCAGTGGGAAGTTTTCTGGAAACTTCACCATTGATCCCGATGGCAGTGGACCCCTGAAGCCATTTGTGGTGTATTGTGATATCCGAGGTAGGTGGCTTTGATGATGAGTTGGGGTGGAGGGTTGACCGGGCCATGCAGAAGATGTGGGGGTTGGGGGGGCAGATATCAGGGAAGCTGGAGGAGGAGACAAGTTAAAACTGTAGTTGGAAGGGGGACACCTAACATTTTGTAATAAAGCCTTACAGACAAGTTGCAACTTCTGGCCATTCCAGCCGTCTCGTCTCAAGGCTGGGCTGCAGTGAAGTGGCTGGCCACTTTTATTGCTCCTCGGTGGCAGCAAGGTTGTGAAGGAGGGAGACAAGAGTGCTCACGTCCAGCCAAAGCTCTGTCCCCACTCTTCCAGAGAACCGAGCATGGACGGTCGTGCGGCATGACAGGCTATGGACAACTCGAGTGACAGGTTCCAGCATGGAGCGGCCCTTTCTGGGGGCTGTCCAATACTGGAATGCCTCCTGGGAGGAAGTCAGTGCTCTGGCCAATGCTTCCCAGCACTGTGAGCAGTGGATCGAGTTTTCCTGCTACAATTCACGGCTGCTCAATACTGCAGGTTGAGCCTGGCAGCAGGGAGGGCTAGGCATAGCTGGGGGTGGGGTGGGGTCGGGGGCTGCCGGAAGAGTCAAGCAAGGTCAGGCCTGCTTGCACCTGGGGATGAGGAGCCCAGAAGCTGATGGAGGGACAGGGCCTGGAAGCTGCCTGGCGTCTTCCCCAGGAGGCTACCCCTACAGCTTTTGGATTGGCCGGAATGAGGAACAGCACTTCTATTGGGGAGGCTCGCAGCCTGGGATCCAGCGCTGTGCCTGTGGGCTGGACCGGAGCTGTGTGGACCCTGCCCTGCACTGCAACTGTGATGCCGACCAGCCGCAGTGGTGAGGGGACAGGAGGGCAGGATTTCCAGGACTCTAAGGACAGCTGAGCGGCGGGGTTGAGTCACTGCATCCTGTTCCCACAGGAGAACGGACAAGGGGCTGCTGACCTTTGTGGACCATCTGCCTGTCACGCAGATAGTGGTAGGGGATACAAACCGGTCCAGTTCTGAAGCTCAGTTCTTCCTGAGGCCTCTGCGTTGCTATGGGGACCGTGAGTGGCAGATTCCTTTGGTGTAGCCTTCCAGCATTCACTATTTCTGAAACCTAGATCCCGTGACCCACTGGGAATCTCTAGGTCACGTGGCCGGGTGGCCAGATGCTCCCACTGTGACCTGACCCTTTCGTGGTTCTTCTGCACCCTACTCTTCAGCCTCCCTAACTCTTCCCGCTCAGCCCTTCAGGCCTCCCCCACCGGCAATTCCCTCACAAGGCCTTTCTCACTGTTTTCCGCAGGCAATTCCTGGAACACTATATCCTTCCATACCGGAGCTGCACTGCGATTCCCTCCGATCCGTGCCAACCACAGCCTCGATGTCTCCTTCTACTTTAGGACCTCGGCCCCCTCGGGAGTCTTTCTAGAGAACATGGGGGGCCGTTTCTGCCAGTGGCGCCGACCTTACGTGCGAGTGGAACTCAACAGTGAGTAGGCAGACTAACAGGAATGTGGGCATACGGAGATGACCGAAGAAGCTGTTGGGGTGGGGGGACAAGACCGTCAACCCTTTGGAGAGGGGGCAGGGAAAGGATCTGGGATGACTCGGGACCCTAGACTTGCTGTCTTGATGTCTGACTATGTGACATATGACACGGTCCCTTCGGCCAGTGCTTTCCTTCCATGGGCCCTTGACCCCTTCCTTGTGAAGGAGGGACCTGGGCTCTTGATCTCTCAGCCATCTCTAACTAGCTATGCTTCTAGCCTGAGCATGCGAGCTGGGAAGTTTATTCTAGCTCATCGGCAAATTTGGGGTACAGATTGTGTGGTTTGAAGCCATTAATAGGATTTGGACAAAGTGGAGGACTATCTAGAGGGCTTCTCTTAGGTGAGGAGAGATTGGATTTGGGCAAGGATGCTATATATGGGGGTCAGAGCCCCCTTTCTCACGCTTACCCACTGTCATGCTGTCCAGCATCCCGGGATGTAGTCTTTGCCTTTGATATTGGCAACGGGGATGAGAACCTGACAGTGCACTCAGATGACTTCGAGTTCAACGACGACGAATGGCATTTGGTCCGGGCTGAGATCAATGTGAAGCAGGCCCGCCTACGAGTGGACCATCGGCCCTGGGTGCTACGGCCCATGCCCCTGCAGACCTACATCTGGCTGGAGTATGACCAGCCCCTCTATGTTGGTGAGCAGCAATGCAGGGGCAGGGAGAGCGCCTCCAAGACATCCCTACACTCACTGGTCATGCTCACATTTCCAGGAAGCCTGTGTTCCAATGTCCTCTCTGCCCCAGAGTGAGTCAAGGGACCATTTATCTTCTCCAGCTCCTTACATCCCAGTCTGGCCTCCTACTCCCCTTGCTTCCCTTCCCACTCAGTATTTAATCCTGTCTCTGGCTCTACAGTATTTTTTTTTTGTTTGTTTGTTTTTTTGTTTTTTTTTTGGTTTTTCGAGACAAGGTTTCTCTGTGGTTTTGGAGCCTGTCCTGGAACTAGCTCTTGTAGACCAGGCTGGTCTCAAACTCACAGAGATCCGCCTGCCTCTGCCTCCCAAGTGCTGGAATTAAAAGGCTCTACAGTCATTTTGAGGGAGCTCTTAGGATGCTCGACCTTTGAGCCACACCCCCAACCTCTCCATTTATTCCTGACCAGGATCTGCAGAGCTTAAGAGGCGCCCTTTTGTGGGTTGCTTGAGGGCCATGCGTCTGAACGGAGTGACTCTGAACCTGGAGGGCCGTGCCAATGCCTCTGAGGGCACCTTCCCCAACTGCACGGGCCACTGCACCCACCCCCGCTTCCCCTGTTTCCATGGAGGACGTTGTGTGGAGCGATACAGCTACTACACGTGTGACTGTGACCTCACGGCTTTTGATGGGCCATATTGTAATCATGGTCAGTGTTGTTGGTTACGAAGGGCAGAGGGGGAGCAGGGGGCAGCACGGAGCCTTAGGGCATGATGGGAGGTCAGAGGGAAAGGATGAGAAGGGAATATGAGTCTGTATCTGGAAAGACAGATTTCTGACTCTTTGTTGGAAGACTTCTGAGCTCTTAAATGGGGCAGTCAGGCATTTGAAGATGCTGGGTATAAAGGGAAAGGGAGGGATGGTAGAGCTGGCTGATGCGACAGGAGCCCCAACATTAAGCAAATAAATAACTTTCCCATCTTCCCACTATCACCAAGGTCACACAGGTTGCTCCCACACCCCATGCACATCTACTTGGTGGATACATACACACACACACACGTAAACATGTATATACATGTATATACGTGTGTGTGTGTGTGTGTGTGTGTGCATGGTGCCATGGTGCATGCACATGTGTGTGCAGGTCAGGGGTCAGCCTCAGGTGTTGTTTCTCAAGTGTATCTACCTTGTGTTTTCAAACAAGGTCTCTGACTAGGACCTGGAACTCATCAATTAGATAGGCTAGCTAGCTAGCTGGACAGTGAGCCCCAGAGACCCTCTTGCCTCTGCCTCTCCCACAATGGGATTACAAATGTGTGCCATCACAGCCAGCTTTTTGTGTGGGTGCTAAGGATCGAATTCGGGCCCTGAAGCTTGCAGAGCGAGCACTTTCCCAAATGAGCATCCTCCCTTGTTCTAGTATTGACTTTGGCTTCCTGATGCATTTCTTTCCCCTCCCATTTCCCGTATGACCTATCACTGAATTCCCAAAACATGTCTGCAAGCTGACTCTTGGGTGAAGTGAGCCTTGACATTCAATATACCCAGACGACATTTTCCCCAAGGCTGGCCCAAGGTAATCCATGGAAAGGTGGGTGACTGGGCAGAGTCTGGTGGTCTAGGGAGATACAGGGAAATATGAATAATAACACATAGTTGCATGGAGTCAGGTTATTTTAATTCCACTCTTGGCCCTCCATTTAAACTGTGTCCTTGGGCACGTCACTACCCATCTTTTTTTAAAAAAAAATAATTTATTTTATGTGCATTGGTGTTTTGCCTGCATGTGGTTACAGACAAGTGTGAGCTTCCATATGGGTGCTGAGAATTGAACGCCAGGTCCTCTGGAAGAGCAGCCGGGGCTTTTAATCACAGAGGCATCTCTAGAACCTGTCGCTACCCATCTGTAGGCTTCAGTTTCCTTGCCTCTAACATTCAGGGGTGATTGGATGAGCTTTCTGATTTCTCAACCCATTCTTCTTCCTCTTAGTGCTGGATGGGGTGGTGCAGGTTTGTAATCCCAGCGCTTGAGGGGCTGAGGCAGAAGGACTGTAAATTTGGGCTACAAAGTAAGACAATGTCTCCAAAATCGAAAGAAAATATCCTACTAAAAGTAAATAGTGGCAGACACTAAAAGTGTGGGCGTGGGTTGGTAACGTAAGCACCCTTTGAACTTGTGACTAAGACGGCTGGAGCCTTCACCTTGTTGTCTTTGCTTCAGACATTGGTGGATTTTTTGAGACTGGTACATGGATGCGCTATAACCTTCAGTCGGCACTGCGCTCTGCGGCCCGGGAGTTCTCCCACATGCTGAGCCGACCTGTGCCAGGCTATGAGCCTGGCTATATTCCGGGCTACGACACTCCTGGTTATGTGCCTGGCTACCATGGCCCTGGGTACCGCCTGCCCGACTATCCGAGGCCTGGCCAGCCGGTGCCGGGGTATCGGGGTCCCGTCTACAATGTCACTGGAGAGGAGGTCTCCTTCAGCTTCAGCACCTACTCTGCACCTGCCGTCCTCCTTTATGTCAGCTCCTTTGTCCGTGACTACATGGCTGTGCTCATCAAGGAAGACGGTAAGTTCTCCTCGCGCTCTTCCTCCAAATCCCGTGGCTTGTGATTAACGCAAAGACCCAGTCCTTTGGAAGACGGGGTGGGGGGGGTGGGGGGGTGGGAGGTAGTGGGAGCCAAGAGAAGACCCCACGGTCCTCCTCCCACCCCACAGGGACCCTCCAGCTTCGGTATCAGTTGGGTACCAGTCCCTACGTGTATCAGCTGACCACTCGGCCAGTCACTGATGGGCAGCCCCATAGTGTCAACATCACCCGGGTCTACCGAAACCTCTTCATCCAGGTACAGGTGGAGGGGGATGGGCCTGCTAAGTCACAGCCTCATGCTCTTGGCTATGACACGCCCAAGAAAATGACAAATGCTTACATGTCTGAAATGGTTCAGTATACAATGGATTTTTACATGTATCGCCTCTGATGACCCTACATCAGCTCTGTGAAGTAGCTGTGGTTGGCAGTTATTCTGAGCTCCATCTTATGAGCCATTAAACAGGCTGAGAAAGTAAAGTGTTTTTCTCAAAGTCAGCTCGCTGGGGGCTGGCGATGTGGCTTAGTTGGTAGAGCCCAACATGCATGAAGCCCTGAGCTCCACCCCCAGCACCGCACACACTGGGTGTGTAATCTCAATGTTGGAGGCTGAGACAGGAGGAGCAGAGATTTAAGGTCATCCCTGGCTACATGATAAGTTTGAGGACAGCCTGGGCTATAGGAGACCCTGTATCAAGAGGGGAGGGGCGTTGTGGTGTTGGTGAGTTGGCTCAGTGTGTAAAGGCATAAGCCCGAGTTTGATCCTGAGATTCGCGCTGTAAAGGGAGAGAAATGACTCCTCCATGTTGTTGTCTGAACTCCAGACCCCATAAAAAAATAATAAAATATGTAGCCAGACGTAGTAGTGCACACCTTTAATCCCAGCACTCAGGAGGCAGAGGCAGGCATGGATCTCTGAGTCTGAAGTCAGCCTGGCTTACACAGTGAGTCCAGGACAGCCAGGGCTAAGAACCAAAGTCAAATTACTAGAAAACTGCCAAGTCAGAGCTTAAAGCCAGGCTGCTTGAGGTACACGTCAGACCCTGCTCTAGGCCTAGGGGTTGTTCGCTGTGAGCAAGGGTCCCTTGGTCCTGTCTGGTCTTGGCTGTGTCCACCAGGGCTTCCTTCCCCCTCTGCCAGGTGGACTACTTCCCGCTGACAGAACAGAAGTTCTCTCTGCTGGTGGACAGCCAGCTGGACTCACCCAAGGCCTTGTATCTAGGCCGAGTGATGGGTAAGCAGCTCGTGTGCGTTTGGGGCAAGTGCGGATGAGGCTCCTGGGTACAGAGGGGAGAGGGTCTTCTGGGTGTCCCCAATACCTCCTCTGGGCCTGCTTCTCCCTCAGAGACAGGAATCATTGACCCAGAGATCCAGAGGTACAACACTCCAGGTTTCTCAGGCTGCCTGTCTGGTGTCCGGTTCAACAACGTGGCTCCCCTCAAGACGCATTTCCGAACACCCCGCCCCATGACTGCTGAGCTAGCAGAGGCCATGCGGGTTCAAGGAGAACTGTCGGAGTCTAACTGTGGAGCGATGCCACGCCTTGTCTCCGAGGTGCCCCCAGAGCTTGACCCCTGGTACCTGCCCCCAGGTAAAGCCCTAGACACGGACAAGAGGGGTAACCGTGATGGGGAATGGCTCTGAACACAGAGGCGGTGTTTCCTAACAGGCCCTTTCTCCTGTTTAGATTTCCCATTCTACCATGATGACGGATGGGTGGCCATACTCTTGGGCTGTGAGTAGCACTGACCACTAACCCGACTTTCCCAGGACCGCCCTCTCAGCCTCCCTCCCGGTTCCTGTCCTCAGGGCTGGGAAGTGAAGGCTAGATGTGAATGGCACAAAGCAGGGGTGAGACAGGCTAGGCCGACTCAGTATCTAACAGGGCGGAGACAATATTTGAGGCAGCTATACATTTTTAATTAAAATGAAATATTAAAATGCAACACATAGTTACAGGACGAGGAAAGAGATGCAATATCATCTACTGAAATGGGAAACTGGAGAAGCTGTCGGAGATATGGAAAGAGTCAAGTGGACAGGGGATAAGAATTCTGACCTAGACGTGGGGATGGCCTGACATGGTCATATACTGTGCACAGTTGTACATGATACTTTTGGTGGCATGTGTAATGTGTGTGCCCCAAAGACCTTCCCTGACTTCTTTTTTTCTGTCTAGTTTTGGTGGCCTTCCTGCTGCTGGGGCTTGTGGGAATGCTGGTGCTCTTCTACCTGCAAAATCATCGCTACAAGGGTTCCTACCACACCAACGAGCCCAAGGCCAGCCACGATCACCATCCTGGCAGCAAAACTCCCCTACCTCCTTCAGGCCCTGCCCAGGCCCCTGCCCCGACTCCAGCTCCCACCCAGGCTCCGACCCCGACCCCAGCCCCGACCCCAGCCCCAGCCTCTGGCCCAGGCCCCAGGGACCAGAACCTCCCCCAGATCTTGGAGGAATCCAGGTCTGAATGAGTCATAAGGGCTTTAACGATCAAGTCCAACTCCTCTGAGATGCCCCAACTCCTTCCTCTCCCTTATCCTGCCAGGGACATTTGGCTCTTCTTCTCAGGCTCTGTTCACCGGGAGGATTCCCTATGCCAAGTTTGGTGGGCAGAGCTACAGATGGGACCAAAGGGAGTGGCTGAGCCTCACTGCCTAAACCAATGCCCTGCTCATCCTCCCCGCCCCCAGGCTCCTGGCTGTTGGCCTGCCCCACAGCAGAAGCCCCCCAGGGCTGAGACAGACCTTTCCTGCCATCTCTGCCCCAGCTGCTGGTAGGGATTAACCACCTAGGGCAGGGAGATGAAGGATACTTCCCTTCCTGTGTACATTATCAGCAGGGACAGATGTGGGGGGCTGCAGGACTGCACAGGGCATGCGGGGAGGGGGGAGGCTGCTACAACACACCCAGGCCTCCCTGCCTGCCCTGCTGACCGGCTGTCTTCCATCTGCTTCCTCTCAGCTGGGGGTGAGCAGGGAGGACTTCACCTTCCCTACCTCACCCCACCCACCCCTTTGTTTTCACAGAGACCGAGGTCTTGTCTAGCACTTTAGTACCCTCGCTGCTTCACGCGCTTCAGCCAAAGCCATAAAAGCCCTGCAAGTAGAAAACACTAACGCAGACACCTTGCCTAGCCAGTCCTCTGCTCTCCCGACCCTTTCCAAAATATGCAATAGCCTTGGTGCCTGGCCCCAGGCCTGGCCCCTCCAATGCATGAGGAACCCGCTTCCCTCTGCTCAGAGATGCTGCTGTGTTTGCCCAGCTCATATTCTTTATATATATATTTTTTGTTGCAAAGTCTCTCTCCAGAGAAACTATATATTATTCTAATTTTTAAATTATTTGTTTACATATGAAAAAGAACTCAGTGGGCTGTCCTGTGCCGAGTCTATAGTGAGCTCCTTCTGTGCTGGACGTCTCGCTTGTCCTGCCAGCCACTCGCCCAGCTTGCTGGGCCTCCACTCTACAGGAGGGCAGAGCCTGTGGTGCCCTCAACTGAGCAGGTCCAATAAAGCGGAGTGGCAGAGCCCAGTCTGTGTGTGGTAGCTGATGTCACGGTCAGGGATGAACGGAGAGGAGTTTTGCTTTGTTTATTGTTTCCCACTAAATATTTTTTTAATCATGAGAAATGGAGTGTTTTTAAGCAAACTACTCTGAAAGCTTAGAAACTAAACTTCTAGTTCTCAAAACCTATGTATATAAACTGGGTGGTGGTGGTGGTGCACACCTTTAATTCCAGCACTCAGAAGGCAGAGCAAGTGGATCTGAGTTCTAGGCCTGCCTGGTCTACAGAGCAAGTTCCAGGACAGCCAAGGCTTCATAGAGAGACCCTGTCCCTGAAAACCAAAAAACAAGCCGAGGTGGCTTCACCCTCCTAGTCCCCTAGACCTCAGACGATAGTGGGGATCGGGAGCTGAAGTTTCTGCCCATCTGCTGCCATGCCACCACCTCTGACCCTTCCAGCCCAAGAACACAGGACACACTTGCCAAAGTGGATTCTAACACTTTATTAGAGAAGAGGTCACAAGCCACAGGACTTTAAAGTGCAAGAAATTCCCCGGCAATAAAGCCACATGTACACCAGCTCCCCACCCGTCCACACCACCTCTCTGGATCCGTCATCTTATGTGAGGTGGGGCAGAGGTGGGGAGGAGGGTTGGGACCCGTCATTAAAACAGAGGACAGCAGGGACCAAGAACAGCGATGGAGGAGCAGAGTATTAGGGGCTGCCAGTGATGCTTGCTGAGGGAAGGCTCAGGGCAGTCTAGAACCGACATGTTTTAAAACATTCCTTACGGTTAGGCCCTTGTCCACCTGTCTCTGGTTCCCCCAAAGAAAGAGTGAGTAATTCAGAGCCTCCAGTTGGGCTCGAGGGTATCCCTGATACAACAGACACAAACCACCGGCAGATGCCAGTTTCACAACTGTGGTGTGCACTGGCCCAACTGCAGGGTGGGGAGAGGCTACTGTCAGGAGCTGTTGGGTGTGTGCTGAGTGTGAGGTACATGTGCCTACCAGTGTGGTGAGGGAGTGTGTATGTGCACAAGCATGCATGTCCCATGCAATTCCCTAAGAGGCAGTATGGCCAAAGGGAGCCTGGCTTCTTTGGTGGGACAAGCACTGTGGGGTGGGGAGAGGGGAGTGGTCAGTAAGAACCATGGGAAAAGCTCTGGTTCTAACTCCCGAGGCGTCTGTACCTGCCTGGGTCCTTTCTACCCAGAACAACGCCCCTGTTCTAGCACACCAGACCCAAGGCAGCTGGGTCTACAGTTTCGGTTCTTGTGTCAATCAGCTCCTCCTGCCTCTCACAGGTGAGACAGAACTGGAGAATCTTCCACTCTCCTCTTCCTCCTTCAGAGGTGGGATTTGGGCAGGAACCCCAGAGACCTTGGCTCAAACTCCATTCCAATCTACAGACCTTCTAAGAGAAAGTTAAAGTGCTTTGTTCTGCATGGATCTCAGAGAGAACGGTAGTCTGCCTGCACTGTGATACCCTGCTCAATGTGCTGCAGAACCCCCACACCTTCGAACACCCCACCAGCAGCTATACAGACAGTAAACCACACAGTGACCTCTCCTCTCTAGTCTAGACTAGACCCAGCTACCCTGAAGAAAGGACCTAGCTTTGAGGGATGGAAGGGCCTGAGGACAAGTGCAGCTTAGTGACCAGAGTGCTTACTCCCAGGCAGACTCAGCCCACGCTCAGCAGCCTAGGCCTGCTACCACTGAGCTGGAACTTTGGAAGGAGCTGGGTCGCTGCCGCCTACTGCTGAGTCTGACGATGCCCTGCTACCCCACAGTCAATGAGACAGGTCTTTCCAAGCCTCCGGGGCCCGGGCTCTGACTGGCTCCCCCTCTGTCCACAGGAGGGTGGCACATAGCTTTCCCTCCTGCAGTCTTCAATTTCTGCTTTGATGTCACAGAGACACATTTCCCTCTGAGTTCTGTCTGTAATATCTGTCAGGCTCCAGGGACCTGGCTTCACTCAGCAATGCCTGAGAGGCGGGGACACAAGCACTCCTGACCAGGAAAAGCTAACATGGCAGTGCTGGTTGGCTCCTGAGGCCCACAGTTTGGGAGCTGAGGAGAAATCGAGCATCGCTATCCACCCCTGCCCTTGGCCTCCTCTGATCTGGAGGGGCAGCTTCTCTCATCTGAACTCCCCTGGGAGACCAGGTCTTCACAGCCTGCTTCCCTTCGCACTGAGGCTGTGTGTCTCCTTGGAATACAGTGGAGGCCTAGTTACAGGAGTGGGTGGGGTTCTCAGCATGGAAGACATTGCAGGAGCTGGAGCAGCAGTGGTGTGTGCCTCAAGTCAAGACAGCGCTGCTACCACAGCACTGCCAGAGGGCCCGGGGGCTAGAGGAAGTCGGTCTCCCGCTCGATGCCCACATACTTGAGGGCATCAGCTTGGCTGTACCTATCCCAGAGCAAGGAGGAGGAACTAGTTACTCTGTGGTTGGTAAGATGGGGTCCCCTCCTGTTTCACTTCCTCCCAATTCCTAGCAGCCATTTGTAATGCTCCTGGTTCTGAGGCAGACACTGTCAAGTACAGAGCCTCTCCTCCACCCACCGGAGCGGCACTAAGCCCCACAGCAAGCCTAACAGCCACTCCTGCCTCAATCCCAACCACCTCACCTATAATCAAAGAAGAGCTCTTCACCAGCCTGAATCGCTCTCTTGGCAAAGATCCCAATGCGGTGATCTCCGTTCACCATGACCACTGCAGAGAGAGGACAGAGCACTACAAGCCTGTGCTTAGGATTCTGTGCTGACTCTCTCCAAATTCCCAGTACAATCAAATGGAAGTAGAATGTAATCATGGCAGCACCTGTCTCTCTGCTTTTGAATGTGCTATTGTAGCCGGTGACTTTGGGGGAATAGTGACCTTTAAATCATGATTGTGGGAAAGCATTTTAAATGTAGTCAATGAAAAATGCAAAATACGAAATTGGGAGGCCTAAAATGATGTCAGCTGTCAATCATGAGCATCCTTGAAAAAAAGTGAATGATGAGCCAGGAGGCAGGGGCTCATGCCTTTAATCCTAGCACTCAGAAGAGAGGGCAGGCAGAGCTGAGTTGAGGCCAGGCTGGTCTACAAAGCTAGTTCTAGGACAGCCAGGGCTACACGAGAAATAATATCTCAACCAACCAAACAACAACAAAAAAACAAAAATCAAAGAGTTGAATGATGGATAAAAATGATAGTGCATGAGGTATATAGCCCACCCCACTTCCTAGGTTACAGAAGACTCACTCACCTTTGGCATAACAGTTGGGGTTCACTGAATGGTTTGCAAAGCGAATTTTGTTTCCTTTCCGGGTAGCATCCACTACAAAATCTACATGACATAAATCAAAAGAACATCATGAGTGTCCCAGGAAACTCTACACTTCTGTTCTTCTGGGGGGATGGACAGTCAAGTTCTATCTGTGGCCCAGGGTGGCCTAGAGCAGATGGCATAATCCTATTCCTTAGCCTCCCTAGTGCTGTGATTACAGGTACGTGCCGTTAGACCCATTTTTGCTTGTCACCTGCAGCTCAGGCTGGCCTCAAATTTGTGGTATTTCTTTTGTCCCGGCCTCTAAAGTGCTGGGAATACAGGTGTGACCCATGTGCCCGGCTTCAATTCCACACTTCTTTAGCTCTAGTTTAAAGTCAGTTAAGTGGCAACAGAAACAATTTAGTCCAATGGGAATGTGAAGCCCAGAATAGCAACAGGAGATGGGACAAACACATGGCCTGCCTGCTCTCTCCCACCTACTGGGTAGGGTAACTTCTCAAGTGGAAGTGCCCTGTGTTCCCATTCCAAATACAACTCAGAAATGAACCAGAGCCTATGGGCCTTCCAAGTTCAACCACAGCTTGAAGTATCTGTTGGCCAGACTCAGCCTGACCTGAACCTGGAAGAGAGCAGAGGCTGCTAGCTGTAAAGGCTTGCACATGATCACTTTGGTATAAAAGGGAGGCCATGTCATACCATTGTTGAGATTGAAGAGGAAGCTGGACATATATTTATCATAGACCTTCCCTCGCCGATCAGCCTCATCCTGAGAGATGAGCTGGAGGAGTAGACAAGGAACAAGAAGATGTCAGGCTGCCTGCTCAAGGTATACCTGTCTGAGCTGAGAGAGGCAGTGTGGGACAGCATGTCAGGCCACACTAGGCCCATCTCCACCCAGGCTGGCCAGGTGAAGGTTGGGGAGAGCCAGACACCAGTGCTTGACAAACCGTGGTTTGTTTCAGGACTGCAATCAGTTCTGTGGGATCCCCTGAGAGGCCACATGAAGATTGGGCTGAGTTATTTAGAGATTAATTCACAGAGCCTAACCCACAGAAAATCCGAGAGCGTCTTGTCAGCCCCTTCCCAGTAAGAATGTGGGCTGAACCTGGAGCACTCACCTCACCACAATATTCAGAAATGAATTCATTCTTCTGCACAGACTCCTTGATGAAGGTGCCCCATCCGGCCACATCAGAAGGGGCCAGCAGCAGGTGCTGGGGGAGAGGGAGGCGAGCCTTAGAAGACAGGGCGGGTGTGAGTGGGCGTGGGTGCTGCATGTGCACGTGTGTGATGGGGGTGCGTGGAAAGAACTACCAACTGCCAGGGGAACATGAGAACAGAGACAGCCCAAACCATTCTGCTCTTGGGGGTAAAAAACAAGAAGCAGAAGTGGTAAAGGAAACAGGACACTTTCTTCCTCTTCCTTGGGGACCTCCTGGGCTGAGTCCCGGCATACACTGCAATGTAGGAGGTAGAAGGGGCAACGCTGGGGCTGGGAGTGCAGTCCAGTGGTAAACTGCAAAGTCTTACACCAGAACGTGAGCATCCACAGCGCATACCGCTCTGCTCCTTTTGGTAGGATGGAAAAGTTGATTAATCTGGCCACTGACAGAATCTGTCAAACACTTTCACATACAAACCCCCTGAGGAGACAATGGGACAAGGACACCTGGGACCATTTCCTCTTTCCCACTGTGATCTTGACCCAAAAAAAGACCTCACCTTTTTGAGGCCACGCTGGATGCTGCAGTTTTTGCAAGACACCACCTTACAGTCCCAGTGCTCTGAGGCCCCACAGGTGAGGCACAAGTCAGGGTCACACTCCCGCACTGCCAGATAGCAAGGACACTGCTTGGTATTGCACTGAGTCTTACAGCGACAACCGGGAAAACGGTTCTGGCCTGAGTGGGGAGAGGGGGACGGTTAGGAAGGAGGCCCACACCGATCAGAACTCAGGGACAGCAGAGAAGTAAAGGTGACATGTTCAAGACTGTTGGCAATCTGGCCTTTCCCCCCTCAGACGATGAAGTACCTCCTTCAGGGCTCAGGAGATGGCTTGATTGGTAAAGTTCTTGCCATGTAAACATGAAAAAGAGAATCTGATCCACAGAAACCACATACAAAAGCCAGGCATGGCAACACCTATGCTCTTGTAACCCCAGTGCTGGGAAGCCAGCGACAGTGGATTCCTGGAGCTCACTAACCAGACAGCCTTACCCTAATAAGCAAGCCCTTAGCTCCAGTGAGAGATCCCACCAGTTAAGTGGCTCCTGAGGAATGACACCCAAGGCTGACCTCTGGCTGCACATGCACATACATGCACACGCACCAGCGTACTCACACAGATACACACACTATGAACTAATTCCCAACATTCAAGTCCAACAGACAATAGAGCAGGTATGACTTGTTTGGTGTCACCTGGAGATTCCCCAACAGGGTTCCCCTCTCATTCCTGTTGACAGAATTTAGAAGCAAGGTGGAGAGAACCCCAGAGAAAATGAAATCAGTGCTTTTCACAGTAAATCCTCATCAAAACAAGTATCATTTTGAGAAGCGAATGCATCCGCTCTGCGCTGCCCTCCATCCGCAGCCCTCCCCAGCACTGGCACTTTATCTGCTGTGGCTAAGATCATTATCTGTTCCCTGTGAGGTGACAATCACAGCCTGCCTGGGCCCTGCCTTGTGCAAGCCCAGAGGCTGCCATCAACTGCACAGCCCGAAGCAGGAAAGGTGAGTACTGCTGACCCCCGACTCCTGTCTCTTACCAGATAATATGCAAGCATGTATATGTGTACACAATTATTTTTTAGGTTTATTTATACATAAAATATAATACACACACAGACTTATTTATATTTTATGAGTGTATGTGTATGCCTGCTTTTTTTTTTTTTTTGGTTTGTTTTTGTTTTGATAGGGTTTCTCTGTGAGACAGTCCTGGCTATCCTGGAACTTGCTCTGTAGACCAGACTGGCCTTGAATGCAGAGATCCACCTGCTTCTAACTCCTGAATGCTGGGATTAGAGGTGTGTGCCTGGTTATGTATGTGCAACACATGCATGCAGTATCCATAGAGGCCAGAAGGTGGGGTTCGATTCCCCCTAAGCTATAGTTATAGGTAGCTGTGACAGTGCTAGGAACAGAACCCAGGTTTTCTGCTTTTAACTGCTGAGACATCTCTCCAGCCCCCACATACTTACTTTTTTTTTTTTTTTTGGTTTTTCGAGACAGGGTTTCTCTGTGGTTTTGGAGCCTGTCCTGGAACTAGCTCTTGTAGACCAGGCTGGTCTCGAACTCACAGAGATCCGCCTGCCTCTGCCTCCCAAGTGCTGGGATTAAAGGCGTGCGCCACCACTGCCCGGCCACATACTTACTTTTTAATTTTAATTATATGCACGTATCTATCTGTGGGTGAGCAAGCACACCTGAGTGCAGGAGCCCTTGGAGACCAAAACATGGCATCAGCTCCCTTGGAGCTAATGTTGTATTTCATTATGAGCTGTCTGATTATGGGTGCTGGGAATTAAACTTGGGTTTTCCACAAGAATAGTATTGCACTTTTACCCATTCCAGCTCCTACTAAGAGATAGACTCCTCGGCTAAGTATGGTAGTACATGGCTTTAATCTCAGCATTCAGGAGACAAAGGCAGGTATATCTCTGTGAATTTGAAGCCATCCAGGACTGCGCAGTGAAACCCTGCCTCAATAAAAAACAACAACAAAATAAAATAAATTCCAGCTAATATGAAAATGTTGAAATGAAGGCTCTTTACTCTGTTCCATTAATATATGATAAAAAATGTGTTCTAAAGAATTCTAGCTGGGGTAGGTACAGACAGAGGGCTTCCCTTGCAAGTATAAGGTCACAACCGATCAGTCTTCAGCTATTAAAAAAACATGAAGAATTCTCTATCGGTCCAGTGTGATGGCACACACCTGTAATTTCGGCAGTAAGGAGGTAGGGGCAGGAGAATCAGGAGTTCAAGGTCTGGGCCTGGGTTATCGAAAACTCTCAAAATAATTCTGTGTGTATTTTAGGTAAGAGGACAGACAACACAGGAAGCAGTGCTCTCCTTCCATTATGTGGTTCCAGGGATCTAACCCAGGCTTCCTGGCAAGTTTGTTTGCTGCCTTT